TCAGCTAAGGATGGGGCTCTCAGACAGCCATCCTGGGTCAAGAGGTAATTTCCCAGGGACTTGACCAAGGAGAGGTCCCAGTTCTTTTCAGACACCAGGCAAGAGAGGCTCTTTATTAGGAACAACAGCAGGTAAGCCCATGGCTTTGAGAGTCAGACAGATCTGAGGTCATGTTCTGCACTTGAACTTACTCACTGTGACTTTAGACCTGCACTGTCTAGGATGGTAGCCACTAGCTCCATATTGATATTGATATTTAACTTCATTAAAGTTAAACAAAATGTAAAATTCAGTTCCTCCGTCACAATCGTCACAGTAGTAGTCACTAGTCAGTTCACTACATGTGGCTAGTGGCTGTCACCTCAGACTGTGCAGATGCAGAACATCGCCCCCATCAGAGAACATCCTACTGGACAACACTGCTGTAGACAGTCTCTGACAGTCATTTCAAATCCATCCTCTGGCTTTCTTTCTACCACCTTATGGCCTCATTGCTAGGCTCCACTGCCTTAGGAACAATTGTATATCAAACTTCAGCCCAAGCCTCAATTTGCTCATTTGTAAATGGGCACAATAGTATATGTCAGGGCTGATGTGAGAATAACAGGAGATATAACAGGTAGGATTAACCAACACCTGGCTAGATCAATGGCCCTTACTGTTATTGTGTGCAAAATCTCATGGTAATTATTGTTGCTAACACTCTCTCCCATCTTCCCCTCAGCCAGGGATTCCCAAACTCTAGCAGGCGTAAGACTCACCTGGAGGGCTTGCTAAGCCCCCAGCTGCTGGCAGGGCCCTACATCCAGAGTGCCCAATTCAGTATGTGAGGGAGCCTGATCATTTGCATTTCTAACAAGTTCCCAGTCTTATCGATGAGGCAGTTCTGAGAACCACACATTGAGAAGTGGTCTAGGCAGCTCCTCCTAAGCCATTGCTGCCTCTTTGGTGGGGAGATGCTTTTTCTTCTAATGTTGTCCCTTCCTAAATATACTAAGTTATCCACCTGCCCTCTACCCCGGAGAGCCCCTTTCTCTGCCAGTTTTCCAGCCCCAAATCAGATTGATAACGTGTGGCCAACAGCTTCCTTCCAACTTTCCACCTCTGGGTGTGTCACTCATTTCTCTGTGCTGACGCTTACATTTTGTTTATCGTCTGTCTGCTATAGCACAACAGTTATTTGTTTCCCTGTTTCCTAAAGTGTAGATGTTCTACTGCTGGGACCTAAGGCCAATTTCTGTGGCACATCAATGGTTTTAGATGGTACTCAGAGAAACAAACAGCAGTGAAGCACAAGATAAGGAAGTTATTACTCTCAATTTTTTTTTTTCCAAACTCTGATTACATCAGGGAGAAAGCCCCAGACTGGGACTGATGTGTCTTCGCCCCTTGCTAATAGCCTTTGAGCTCAGAGCCTGAGTCAGGTAATTCAATCACCATCATCAAAACAATCATAATGCTTTCTGTGTCTGGCAGCGTTTGAAGGGCTCTACCTGTATTTCCTAGACATATAACTGATTAATAAACTAACTCAGTTAATCCTCACAACCCTAGGAGGCAGATAAAATCATGACTCCCAGTTTACAGATTAAGAGACTGAGGTACAGAGAAGTTATGTGGCTCACTGCTGGTCACACAGCAGGGAAGTGGGAGAAGCAGGATTTCAGCCTAGGCCAAGTACCAGAGTGTGCCCTTAACCACAGTGATACTGAGCTAGAGTCTAACAATACTGTTTTGTTTTACCCTTATTTTCTATTTTGGGCAAATATATTCATATTTTTATTTAGATGGTGATAAAAAAAATCTCTTTTGTACATTATATGTAAATGATACCTCAATTTAAATAAATAATAGATAGATTTAAATGGGAAAAGAGTTTCTTTTTTTACCTGAATTAATGTATGGCAAAAAGTGAGGCAAGTTAAACAGAAATATTTAGCGCATAACAGCAGAGCTGGATCGTGGATGTAGAGCAGCCGTGAGGGTGGAATGCGCCCACTGAGGTTGGGATAACTAGTGGAAGCAGGCCTGGAGCTTCCCAGGGGCGGGAGCCTGTTGGTGTCGGTCAGAGTCCCGCCAGGGGACAGATGGCGCACTCAAACGCTTAATTACAAAGAGTGTCATGAAGGCTAGTCACAGAGGTGTGGGCAGGCGGGAGGCTATGACATGCCGCGGGCTAGCGGCAGAGGGAGGCTGCTGCCACCCTGCACGGAACGGGAGAGGGTGGTATTGCCAGCTTACGGTGCGAGCGACGGAAGGGGGGTCTGCAGACAGAAACTGGCCAAAGGAGAGCCAGCGTGAGCGGGGTGGGAGCGGGGAGGGCTGACGTTTCCCTTCTGCCCTGTCGTCTCCATCCGACCAGTCCCTGCCACAGCCGGGCTCCAGCTGGAGGCCAGAGGCAAAGAGCCTGGCGATGCCACCAATACCCGCTCGCCTCCCAGGCGCAGAGCAGGCCCCGGAAAGCGGCCCCCCGAGAGCAGCAGGCGCAGCACAGAGGGTGGGCTTTGGACTCCCTGAACCCAGTGGAGAAACGGATTTCCAGTAAAGGGTGCTGTGCGGTCAAGGCCGCTGGACCCTGGACCCCTAGGGTCTCACTTCCAGCTTATCTGGGCGGGTGAATCATCAGATTTCGGTGACCTCTTGGGGCTTGGGTCACACCCAAGCAGGAGGGGCTGAGTTGCTGGTGCTGTTAAGTGATCCCAGCTGTAATTATACCCTCCACCCCCTCAGTGTCTAGACCAGACTGCCAGAGCTGGGGAAAATGACGGCAGCTTTCTGTGGCCCCCGAGCAAATGGGAATTCCTGCCTGAGGCCCTTTGCCCAGCGCGCAGGAGCAGCCAGTCCCCAGAAGCAGCAGCAGCTGGCGCTGGAGGGCGAGACACAAAGAGAAAAGAGGAGCCTCGTTTCAGAGTCTCCAGGGGAAAAGAGCCCAGTCAGGCAGTGGCAGTCGGAGTATGAAGGGATCCTGCTGGTTTGACTTGTTATCAGCAATAATAATAATTATGATAATAATACTTCATGTTTATCACACATTTGTTCTGTGCCAGACACAGTGCTAAGCATCCTACATACTTCACTGCATTTAATCTCCACAACCGCCCTATGATGTCAGTACTATTAACCCTGTTTTTAAAAAGAGAAAAATGGTGCTTAGAAAGTCAAAGGAAACATGGTCTTAGCTACTACTGACCGAACATTTCTTATGTGCCTGGCACCGTCGTGGGTGCTTGTATCAGGGCTGCGGATCGCCGCGGTTGTCCAAGTGAGGTTGTGGCCTCTCTGGGTCCCCAAGACCCTGACTGCAGATGCATCTGCAAGGTCAAAACAATATTCACACTCACACGAAGATATTATTTTCCTTTTCCAGTGCGTTTACATCTGCACTGATGTTGCAAAAGAAAAGGTGGAGGGAGCTGCTAGTGCCGCAGCGGGAATCAAGGCAGCGCACCCACAGCACTAGCGGTTATCGCGTTCTTTATGGCACCCGCTCCCGGCAGGAAAAAAATGCTGCTTCGCTTAAGCATGTCTTTGATGAAGCAGAATAATTATTAATTTTATTAAATCTCAACCCTTAAGCACGCATCTTTTTAAGGTTCTGCGTGAGGAAATGGGCAGATGGCATAATGCACTTTTACCCACGTCCAAAGCCATGGTCGCCTCGAGCAAGGCACCTACACAACTGTTTGAGCGGCAATCAAACGGAAATCTTTTTTCATGGGTTACCACGTGTACTTGGAAGAATGAATGAAAAATCACAGGCGCTCAGATTTGGGTAGCTGGCAGGCATGTTCTCAAAAATTAATAAATGAGACTGTTACATAAAGCGATACAACTGACAATGTTTGTAGCCGGTGATAATATTTGAGTTTCAAAGGAAAATTAGAATTTTGGAAAACATATATGCCGCTGTTAACGTGCCAACTTCCCAATACTCAAAGACCTTTCTGATGTGACCTGTGGTGGCATTAATGAATGTGATGTTTGGGTTTTGTATTTAAAAAGTGTCAGCATCTGGATGATCTGCATAAATCAGTGAACCAATATTTTCCAAATGTCCAATGCCCCATGTTGCAAAAGCACACACAGGTTAAAACATTGGTTTGAAGTGCAGAATAGCCAATGGATTTTAAGATAACATAATAGCATGAAAATTTCATTGATATGGTTTCATTTTCCACATAAAACTAATTTTTAAGAAACAGACGACAGTATGGTGATAGCCAGAGGGCAGGGGCGACGGGGGCTAGGTGGAGGTAGGCAAAGCGGGCGGGGGAGGGAAGGGGGGCATGGGGACATCTGTAATAATGTCAACAATGAAAATAAAATTTTTTTAACAAAGAAACTGGCAGTCAAGTTTTGATTTAGTATCCAAAAAAGTCTGTTAAAATATATTTCCCTTATCCAACTACATATCTGCATGAGGCTAAATTTTTTCCTATACCTCAAGCAAAACAATATATGGCAACACATTGTATGCAGGAGAGATTATGAAAATCTGTCTTCCATTATGTAACATGTAATCAGTTTATGATTGTTATTATTTTTTAATCATCACCCAAGGATATTTTTTTATTGATTTGAGAAAGAGAGAGGAAAGGGGAAAGAGAGAGAGAAACATCCATGTGAGAGAGAAACATGGATCAGTTGCCTCTCGTATGCGCCCCAAATGGGGAACAAACCCAAAACCTAGGTATGTGCCCTGACTGGGAATCAAACGAAAACTTTTTTCTTTTTGTTTGTTTTTGGCGTATAGGACTGGATGACCCTCCAACCAACTAAGCCATCTGGCCGGGGCTATGATTGTTATTTTTAAATAAATTAGTAGTTAAATAATTTTTAAATTTCTCAGTTGTAATTTCTAGTACAAAAATATTAGTAGATAAACCAACATTTGAAAATAAAATATAAAAAAACTCTTAGGGGCCCCCAATAATTTTTCAGAGTGTAAAAGGATCTTGAAGCCAAATGGTTTGAGAACCACTACTGTATCAGAAACTTACCAGCACAGCGAGATCCCAGAGGTCAGAGCTTGTCAGGGGCCTGGAAAACTGCATGAAACCCAGATAGAAAAACAGTTGTTGGCTCCACATCTACAAAAAGAAAACAAGAAACATAAAAATTAATGAACATTTAGCTAAATGTACATCTGCAAAATGTACCAATGTGCCAGCTTCATTCACTGTTAAATTTAATACTCATAAGGATTTGATTCCATCTAATACAACTTACAGGTTCAGTTTTCTCACTTCACAAATTCCCCTAAGAATACACAGTAATTGTTGGGCGCTCACAGCCAATTCTAAATTAAATAAGTAACATAGCACCAAATAATTTCTAAAGCACAAATATAAAAACCCTTACAAGAGTTCTTAAAGGAAAAAAAAAAAAAAAAAAGCCTCTTTAATGTGGGAGCCGTGTGCCGCTGGCACGTTTGATAGGCTGTATGCGGGCGCGGAAGGTTCAGCTTGGGGCACAGCATCGCATTGCCTTTCAATTACGCGCCTCCTGGAAGCATTTCAGTGAAAGGAGATGACTTCACCAGGCAAAGGCGAGGTCTTCACCAGGAGAAAAACTTCCCCTGACCTTTGGCAGGACTGGGAAGGAGAAGCACATAATGAAAATACAACAAACCCGTCCGTGAAGGAATAAAATTACAGGGAAAGAGCGAGCAGACGCTGTGCTGTTTGGGTCTGAGCAAAGGCACAGGGGCCTCCTGGCAGGAGGGGTTAGAGCCTCCCTCCCACCCAGGCTCTCACTAGGTGTGGGCAAGGTGGGGCTGGTGGCTTAGAAGAGCCCTGGGCTTCTCTGGGGAAAGAGAGTCCGACAGAAAAGCTTGAGGGCGCTTACAACCAATTTGAGGCAAAAAGTCACCCAGCATTCTCCCTACTGCTGATCTGGGAGGCCCTTGGTCCCTGCCTGTAACTCAGAATTACGTTCTCTTGTCAGGGAGCAGAGTCCAGCAATGCAGAAACCTCTCTCGACTTCCTTCCCTTAAAAAGTGTCGTCCTCACCTTTCTCCCAGGCCCTCAGCCCCACTGAGTGGAGCAAGGCGGTGTTGGCCCTTCATCCAACTTGGTGTCATCATGACTCTGACGGTCATGGGGTCAGCAGGGCTCTCCGATGATATTTCCCACAATACTACAGAATTTATTTACCGCCTCTTCTGATGTTTCTATAGTTTCTGCTACAAATGCATTTACTTTAATTTTTCCGTTTTAAAGGACATGGGTAAAGTAACTGGCTCAAAATCGTCCTTCAGTCGGGAGCACTCACTATGGCTCGGCCGTGAACCAGACGTGCCCTGACGCTTCCCGCATCGCCGTCGGGAGCTCGCTGCTGTCGAGAGAGGACAGACTCACGGGGGTTTCTGGAGCTGCCTCATTTAGTAAAAAAAAAAAAATAGGAATAGGAAAATGGAAAAACAGGATTATGTAACATACAATGTGTTTGAAATGTTTCATTTAACAGATCAGTGTTTTAAACCTGCACACACGTGCAAAACCACCATACAACAAAATTGTGCAATTGACGATATTATTCTGAGACTTATGAGAAACAAATAATGCATTGAGCGTGCACTGTGTAGGCCATGTGGCCTGGTGAGGAGACCAAACTGCAGCGCACTGAGACGTACGAAGTCTTCTTTCAGGCCGGTCAGTGAGGCTCTGTGACTCGATGGTGTCATTTGGAGATTAAAACAAATGTCTAAAATTGGATTTTGTTGCTAAATTGCCTTCCTCAGGCACCTCCTCCCTTTACCAACACCAATAGATTCTGGTGGCTATTAACCTTTGTTCCTTCTTTTAACATCAGCATTTTTCCATGCAAATGTCTGGGCTTCCCAACCAGAGTAAAAGAGTCATCTATGCTCCTGTGACTCTGTGCTTATAACAGATGTGTAACTTACTAACCAAATGTCTGATACTTGCTGAACATGAAGGTTGTTTTTTAAGTACTAGCTAACAAAAAATGCACTTCTCTCCACTATAAAGTCACATTTTTTCTTTATCCTACCAAGATCTTTATCCTCCAAGCCGACTTGATCATATTAAAGGAGGAAACCTCACATCAGTCTTTTTTTCTTTGCTTTCTGTCCAAACCCTTTTGAGCAAGGGTATCAGCCCTTCCTCCCCTCCCCAGAAGCCTGGAGTGGATCTCCCTGCAGCTGCTGCTTTCATCCCTCACGAGGCGGACACCTCCCTGCATTGTTATTTCAGTTGATCCACTTGTGACTAAGGCATCAGATGCACTTTCTCTGAACATTCAACCTCTGGTCACTGAGAAGCAAGAGATTTGGATGACGGTCTCTGGCAAGAATCTTCCCCCATCTGGTTCTAGTTCAGGGCTGGCCTTTGGCGCCCTCCGTCTCACCCCATGACTCTAAGCGGGTGTGGAAACTGCTTGGCTCTCTGGCAAGCTGAGTGGGTCCATGGAGAGCTGTTTATTTTTTTTCCAAGCAAGAGTAAGGAGGGATTGGTGCCTCAGCATCATGCAGATTTAAGCTTATTACCGATTTCCCCCTAACAGGTATGTCTTATTTGACATAAAGGAAGATCTGTTATCAGATGAAAAGGCCTCCCAAATTATGACTTGATTTTAAGAAAGGAGCAGTAGTTTTAAAGATAGAAGCGACTGGTGTCTCTCCACTCATCCTTTGAGGATATCATTAAAAGATCCATCCCATCCTTGCCATTTCTTCATTCCACTCCATTTAGGTGGAGCTATTACTGCTTGTCTTGAAAGCAATAGTAGCTTCCTAATTGGTCTCCTTGTCTCCTTTCTTGCCCCTGGCCTTCTCCCTTCTTTCCACTTGCTGCCAGAACAATACTTTTTGTTTGTTTTTTTGTTTGTTTAAAATATTACAGATGTCCCTTTTTCTCCCCACTGACCCATTCCATTCCATCCCCTCCCCCTCCCCAGTCCCTCTCCACACCATTGTCCATGTCCTTGGGTTGTGCATAGATGCATATAAATTCTTCGCTTAATCTCTCCAGAACAATACTTTTTGAAACACAAATCTGAGTATGACTATCCCCACCCCTTGCTCAAATACCTGCAGTAGCTCCCCATTGCTCATAGAAGAAAATACACAGTCCTTAGCAAGCATACAAGGCTGACTATAACAAAGGGAAATAAAACAGTAGAAAATGGTAGAATCTGTACATGGAATTCTTTTTTTTTTTTTAAAGAAGTTGGGGCACACCAGACATAGCATGGTATGAATTTGGCTCAGGGGGACAGTTTAAAACTCTCACTATAGGTTTCACTTGGGCTAATCCAAGTGCCTGAAGGACCTCAGTGCTGTTCACCACTCCTGCCTCTTCACCTAGCTCATTATTTATCTCACAGAACTTGGTTCCAAGTAGCCTCCTTGGAGAATCTTTTCTTAGCAGTGGGCCTGGGTTGGGGGTCATTCCTCTGGCTCTCAAAGCCACCTGCAGCCCCTCTGTGACAGCAGTAATCACACTGTTATTTGCTTGACTCTGTTGCTTGCCAGACTCCATTGCACCAAGACTTCCTTGATGAACGGAAATATCTTACTCCTCCCTGAGTAAGTAGACAGAATAAATGTTTACAGCAGACGTGAGTTTTGTTCACCAGGACCTCCTCTACCCTTTTCTTGTAAATAGAAGCTGCTTACCCACCTTCTCTTTCAGGAACTGTCCTTTTTCTGCACCTTACGATTCTGGCAATGCTGCTAAACCAGAAGACTCCAGCCCTAGGGGAAGACACATGACCCAAGTTGGGCCAATCAAATTATTTTACCTGGGAATGGGCAAGGTTCACAAAGGCAACTGGAGCTATGGCATCTGGTGGCAGCTGTCTAAAGAAACCGCAGGTACCCTAGTTCCTGGATTTTGTTCTTCTCAAGGCTTTGGTATCAATGAGCTTTTGCCGTGTAACAAATAACCCCAAAATTCAACAGCATAAAATAATGTCCTTTTAGTTATCTCAAAATTCTGGAGGTCAGTAATTTGGCTTGGCAAGCTGAGCATTTCTCCTGATTTTGGGAGGATTCACACTTGTATCTGTGATCAGCTGTTGGTGAACTGGAGGCTGGTGGTCCAGGGCCACCTCAGCCGAGATCCTCTCTGTTCTCCGTGGCGTCTCATCTTCCAGCAGTCCAGCTTGATCTTACCCACATGCACTGCGCAGGGTTCCAGGAGAGGGAATGGAAGCAGACAAGGCTTGCTGAGGCCTAGGCTCAGACCTGGACATCATCATCTCTATTAGCCAAAGCAAGTTACAGGACCAGCCCAGATTCAAGGGGGTGGAAACTAGGCTCTACTTCTTGATGGGAGGAGCTGCAAAGTCACCTCATGAAGGTTGTGGATACAGACAAGAGTGGAAAAGTGTGGTCATATCTGCAAACTACCATGGCTTTGTTATTCAGGTCCCTGTTAATCTTCCAGTGCACCCCCTTTTTAAATAAAGGTACTATATGTCAGCTTCTGTTGTTTGTAATTTAAAAACCATAACTTATGCATGCCTGGGAATGAATGAATGAGTGAATGAGTGAGGATATGTTACAGCAGGTCAAATGTCATCCAAGGGAGACTGTTCTAAAGAAGGGAGGGTAGAAGGGTGGCAGGCCTTATCGTGGAGCTGAGGGAGCTGCAGAGGATGCTATAGGCTGATGGCCTGTGAGCACCTCACAAGTTGGGATACTACGTTCCCTTCCACCTTCCTAACTCACCCCGTGGTCACAGCCACCAACAGTTTGAAATCTGAGACCTAGAAATGGAACCATTCACTTGAAACTGCCCTCCTGTCACTACCAAAATTGAATTTAAGACCCTGACTCTGACTATTAGGTGACTATCCTCAGGTGTGTGTTAATATAGCCACATATTCTACTTCAGATTGGCTTAAAAACAGGACATACATTTTTTAAGGAAGGGATATTTCAATAAGGGGAAAGTCTTAAGGGCTGAAGGGGCCCTTAGTTATGATCCAGTGTTCCCCAATTTAAGTCCTTCCCACACCCCACTCTTCACTCCTTTCCAACAAAATCTCCACTTCCTTAGGGACTGATCAAAATAATGTTGGGGGGAAAAACAAGTTATATAATTAAATATCACTGAACTGTGAATGACTGATATCTCACATGCCTGAATTTCTAGGAAAATTTATAATGTTAGAGGGAAGACTTCTTAACTCAAATATTTTTGTAAGTAAAATCCCAGGTAATATAAAGGAGAGATTTTTAGGCAGCTCTAGGCTGTTTTGTTTTGTTTTGTTTTGTTTTGTTTTGTTTTGTTTTCAGTGGTGGTGGTGATGTAAATAATAAAAAAATAGTATCTGGGCATAAACATGACA